CTCACATCACTCTCACTCAGCAGTCTAGACCATCTACAACATCATTCACACTTACATCACTCTCACTCAGCAGTCTAGACCGTCTACAACATCATTCACACTCACATCACTCTCACTCAGCAGTCTAGAGCATCTAGAACATTATTCACACTCACATCACTCTCACTCAGAAGTCTAGACCGTCTACAACATCATTCACACTTACATCACTCTCACTCAGCAGTCTAGACCATCTATAACATCATTCACACTTACATCACTCTCACTCAGCAGTCTAGCCCGTCTAGAACATCATTCACACTCACACCACTCTCACTCAGCAGTCTAGACCATCTACAACATCATTCACACTTATATCACTCTCACTCAGCAGTCTAGACCGTCTATACCATCATTCACACTCACATCACTCTCACACAGCAGTCTAGACCATCTACAACATCATTCACACTCACATCACTCTCACTCAGCAGTCTAGACCATCTACAACATCATTCACATTCACATTACTCTCACTCAGCAGTCTAGACCGTCTACAACATCATTCACACTCACATCACTCTCACTCAGCAGTCTAGACCATCTATAACATCATTCACACTTACATCACTCTCACTCAGCAGTCTAGCCCGTCTACAACATCATTCACACTTACATCACTCTCACTCAGCAGTCTAGACCATCTAGAACATCATTCACACTCACATCACTCTCACACAGCAGTCTAGACCGTCTAGAACATCATTCACACTCACATCACTCTCACTCAGCAGTCTAGAGCATTTAGAACATTATTCACACTCACATCACTCTCACTCAGAAGTCTAGACCGTCTACAACATCATTCACACTCACATCACTCTCACACAGCAGTCTAGACCGTCTACAACATCATTCACACTCACATCACTCTCACTCAGCAGTCTAGACCGTCTAGAACATCCTTCAAACTTATTTCACTCTCACTCAGCAGTATACACCGTCTATACCATCATTCACACTCACATCACTCTCACACAGCAGTCTAGACCATCTACAACATCATTCACACTCACATCACTCTCACTCAGCAGTCTAGACCATCTACAACATCATTCACACTTACATCACTCTCACTCAGCAGTCTAGACCGTCTAGATCATCATTCACACTCACGTCACTCTTACTCAGCAGTCTAGACCGTCTACAACATCATTCACACTCACATCACTCTCACTCAGCAGTCGAGACCATCTAGAACATCATTCACACTTACATCACTCTCACTCAGCAGTCTAGACCATCTAAAACATCATTCACACTCACATCACTCTCACTCAGCAGTCTAGACCGTCTAGAACATCATTCACACTCACATCACTCTCACTCAGCAGTCTAGACCATCTAGAACATCATTCACACTCACATCACTCTCACTCAGCAGTCTAGACCGTCTACAACATCATTCACACTCATATCACTCTCACTCAGCAGTCTAGCCCCTCTTGAACATCATTCACACTCACATCACTCTCACTCAGCAGTGTAGACCGTCTACAACATCATTCACACTTACATCACTCTCACTCAGCAGTCTAGACCATCTAGAACATAATTCACACTTACATCACTCTCACTCAGCAGCATAGACCGTCTACAACATCATTCACACTCACATCACTCTCACACAGCAGTCTAGACCGTCTACAACATCATTCACACTCACATCACTCTCACACAGTAGTCTAGACTGTCTACAACATCATTCACACTCACATCACTCTTACTCAGCAGTCTAGACCATCTAAAACATCATTCACACTCACATCACTCTCACTCAGCAGTCTAGACCATCTAAATCATCAGTCACACTCACATCACTCTCACTCAGCAGTCTAGACCGTCTAGAACATCATTCACACTCACATCACTCTCACACAGCAGTCTAGACCATCTACAACATCATGCACACTCACATCACTCTCACTCAGCAGTCTAGACCGTCTAGAACATCATTCACACTCACATCACTCTCACTCAACAGTCTAGACCATCTAGAACATCATTCACACTTACATCACTCTCACTCAGCAGTCTAGACTATCTAAAACATCATTCACACTTACATCACTCTCACTCAGCAGTCTAGACCGTCCACAACATCATTCAGACTCACATCACTCTCACTCAGAAGTCTAGACCGTCTAGAACATCATTCACACTCACATCACTCTCACTCAACAGTCTAGACCATCTAGAACATCATTCACACTTACATCACTTTCACTCAGCAGTCTAGACTATCTAAAACATCATTCACACTCACATCACTCTCACTCAGCAGTCTAGACCGTCTAGAACATCATTCACACTCACATCACTCTCACTCAACAGTCTAGACCATCTAGAACATCATTCACACTCACATCACTCTCACTCAACAGTCTAGACTATCTAAAACATCATTCACACTTACATCACTCTCACTCAGCAGTCTAGACTATCTAAAACATCATTCACACTCACATCACTCTCACTCAGCAGTCTAGACCGTCTAGAACATCATTCACACTCACATCACTCTCACTCAACAGTCTAGACCATCTAGAACATCATTCACACTCACATCACTCTCACTCAGCAGTCTAGACCATCTAGAACATCATTCACACTCACATCACTCTCACTCAACAGTCTAGATCATCTAGAACATCATTCAGACTTACATCACTCTCACTCAGCAGTCTAGACCGTCCACATCATTCACACTCACATCACTCTCACTCAACAGTCTAGACCGTCCACAACATCATTCACACTCACATCACTCTCACTCAGCAGTCTAGACCGTCTAGAACATCATTCACACTCACATCACTCTCACTCAGAAGTCTAGACCTTCTATACCATTATTCACACTTACATCACTCTCACTCAGCAGTCTAGATCATCTAGAACATCATTCAGACTCACATCACTCTCACTCAGCAGTCTTGATCATCTAGAACATCATTCAGACTACGTTCCTCATTCCCTCTTGGTTTCTAAACACGAGACCATATGGGGGAGCGGTGGCGCAATGTCTAGCGCGCTGCGATACAATGGCGACGACCTAAGTTTAATAAAGGACACGGCTAACATCAGTGGCGAGTGATATCTTAGCGGACCCTTGCCCTCCCTTCGGTCGATTAAGCGTTAATTATGAGCATCTGATGAGAGTGTGTGTGTGTGCTTGCGTGTGTGTGTGATTGTGTGTGTGTGTGCATGTATGTGTGCTTGTGTGTGTGTACTTGTGTGTGTGTGCTTGGGTGTGTGTGTGCTTGTGTGTGTGTGCTTGTGAATGTGCTTGTGTGTGTGTGTGCTTGTGTGTGCTTGTGTGTGTGTGCGTGTGTGTGTGTGTGTGCGTATGTGTGTGTGCTTGTGTGTGTGTGCTTGTGTGTGTGTGTGCTTGCGTGTGTGTGCTTGTGTGTGTGTGCTTGTGAATGTGCTTGTGTGTGTGTTCTTGTGTGTGCTTTTGTTTGTGTGCTTGTGTGTGTGTGTGCTTGTGTGCGTGTGTGCTTGTGTGTGTGTGCTTGTGTGTGTGTGCTTGCACACACACACAAGCGGCGGGGAAGGCTGCGATGGCTGGGTCATGTAGCCCGCATGCCCAGCCACCGCATGCCGAAACAGCTTTTGTTCGGCCGGATTGAGGGGGCTAAGCGGGCGCGGCACGGGCTAGAGAAGAGATGGAGTGATGTGGTACAGGAGGACGTGGAGCTGAGTGGACTTGCCGATGACTGGTACCAGCGGTGTCAAGATCGGCCTCTGTGGAGGAGGCTCGTGAAGGATGCTACTGGGCAGTTGGAGGTAGTCGCCCTCCAACAACAACGGAGGGCGGAGGAGCGACGCTCAGAACAACGAGCGGAGCGCCGGGTGGCTAAAGCACAGCAGGTTGGCACAGTAGGGGGCACAGGTGGTGCATCAGCCAGTCATCTCAGTCAGTCGACCCGTGGCACCTGGGTCTGCCCCGTGACCACCTGCCAGCGGGCGTTCGACACTTCACGTGGCCTCAGGGTGCACATAGCCTGGCACAAGCGTCGTGGTGACGTCACCGCCACTTAGTGGCTAATGGCGGTTGTTGTGTGCTTGCGTGTGTGTGTGCACTTTGTACACCTGATGTACCTGAACCTGTCCTGTTGCTTACTTAGGTCAACTCAGCCTAAAATGACTGCACCTAGTGTGTTCTGTGAACATCAACAGCACTGGGGATACAAAGACGGCCGGGCGTGGTGTTGGCCACCCACCCCCTTCGTGCGCCGTTCCGGCCTTCATAGGCGCTCGCTAACAGCACTTGTCCCGCCAATCTGTTAAGGCTATGCGGGTGATCTTTGTCTTTGTATGTACGTGTGTGTAATGTATGTGTATCGTGTGTGTTGTTAATGCGCTCGCGCGCGTGTGTGTGTGTGACTGCTGCGTACGTGTGCGCACGTGTCCAACTGAGCGTGCGTCTCGTGTACGTGTGTCTGTCACTTTGCACGTGACATGTGTCTGTGCGCGTGTATATTAGCACACGCGCACGATACACACGTACAATATTACCTTAACGGGTGCTCGATAACAGCACTTGTCCCAACAGGATATGAAAGCTATACGGGGAGTAATGTGTGCGCGTGTGCGTGTGTGTGGAGCGGTAACGTAGCGGTTAGCGCTCTGCGCTACGAACCCCGGCCACCCAAGTTCGATTCACGCTCACGGCCAGCACCGGTGACGATTATATCTGAACCGGTCCTCAGTCACACCACTATCGACTCAGCCTCACTATGAGTACCTGATGCGATGCGTAAACATCGCAACTAGGGAGACAAAGGCGGCCGGGCGTGGTATTGGCTACCCGCCCCCTCGTGTGCCACAGTGCCGGCCTTCATAGGTGCTCGCTAATAGCACTTGCCCCACCAGTCTGCGTAGGCTACACTAATGATATTTGTCTTGTGTGTGTGTGTGCGCGTGCGTGCGTGTTTGTGCAGAGAGGGGAAATCTCTTACCGGTGTTAAGAGATGCGCAACAGCATGATGACGATGCTCATCACTGGCACGACCACGAATTCTCTTTTGGAACTTCGCGCGTGCTATGCCGTTATATGTCGGGATGGAGGAG